TAGTATTCAGATCCAGGGTAGTATTCAGATCCGGAGAAGTATTCAGATCCGGAGTAGTATTCAGATCCAGGGTAGTATTCAGATCCGGAGAAGTATTCAGATCCGGAGTAGTATTCAGATCCAGGGTAGTATTCAGATCCAGAGAAGTATTCAGATCCAGATCCGGGGTAGTATTCAGATCCGGAATAGTATTCAGATCCAGGGTAGTATTCAGAATCGAAAAATTCAGATCTTTTTCCAAAAGAAAAATCAGATTCTGAATTGTATTCTGATCCAGATCCAAAGAAGTATTCAGATCCAGATCTCGCAGCTACTATATCAAGATCGTATTCAGATCCAGAGTGGTATTCCGACCCAGAAGATTCTGATCCAGATCCAGAGTAAGATTCAGATCTTTTTCCAAAAGAGAAATCAGATCCAGACCCGGAGAAGTATTCAGATCCAGAGAATTCAGATCCAGAGAAGTCAGATTCAGATCCGGAGAAGTAATCAGATCCAGTGAAGTCAGATCCAGATCCGGAGTGGTAAACAGATCCAGAGAAGTATTCAGATCCAGAATAGTCTGATCCGGACCTGGAGTAGTATTCAGATCCAGAATAGTCTGATCCAGATCCGAAGTGGTAATCAGATCCATATCCGGAGTGGTAATCAGATCCATAGAAGTATTCAGATCCAGATCCAGAGAAGTAGTCAGATCCAGACAAAAATTCAGATCCAGAATAGTCTGATCCAGATCTGGAGAAGTATTCAGATCCAGAGAAGTCTCCGGAGTGGTAATCAGATCCAGAATGAAGGTCGGAGCCAGAATAGTATTCTGATCCAGAAAAAAGGTCGGATCCAGATGTAAAGCTTGATGAAGGATTTCCAGGTCCTAACTTTACCTGATCCCTTGGTGCTGCTGCTGCTAGAGCTAGACCAAGAAAAATACTAAACAAGGTTCTCATTGTTCTTTTTACAAGGAGAAGTTACTGTTTGGTCAATATTTGAACCAGGAACAGTTTATATATCTAGGTTTTCAAGTGTTAATACATATAAAAGTAAACAATGCGAAGGCTAAAAGCAAAGGCAAATATAAATCTCAGGCGGTTACACTTGTTCAATGCAAACCTAACACACAAAAATGTCTGTTATCAGAAATTGTACAAAATTATCAAAACTCAGTCCTTATTTAGATACGAAGAAAGTGAATCAAATCTTGGCAATCTAATTACGTAAAAAATCAATAGTACACAACAGTATGAACGGTTTATTACATCTATATATATGAGATGTAATATTTTTATATAAATATATACTGATACACCAATCTTGGTTCTGTTTATTACATCTATATATGAGATGTAATATTTTTATATAAATATATACTGATAGACCAATCTTGGTTCTGTTTATTACATCTTTATATGAGATGTAACTTGGAAACCAGACTAGCCGTCTAGCGACCATTTTCTGGATTGAGGTCGGAAGTTCTATTTCCGGTGGCTAGGAAACCAACCAGCGTATATCCTCATCATTATAGATTATACAAACATTAACATCAATACTATTATTTTATTTTAAAGCATATAGTAAACAACAATATGAATCATATTTTGTTTAAAGAAAAAGTGAATAACTTGAATATTTTATTTCGTAAAAATTGTTTTTCTTTTATTTTTTTCTCTTTAAAAATTTAACAGTAAAAACTTAGATGAATACTAAATAGCGGTAAATTAAAAACCTTTGCTTTGAAATTATTTTTTTCCTGGTCTAAAAGTAATTTTAAATGACTAAGACGTAGTGCTAAAGAAGCAATCTGAAAAATGTTGCAAATTATTGTATTCAGCAACTGATTACTTTTCTGTGTAATAGTAAAACTTTCCCCAAATATAAGTTTTGTGTAAAATTGTGATCTTTATAATTTTACTGAAAGTTATTACGGCCGGACATAAATTTCATAATACTTACCATACATTTTTACTTAATTTTTTGAAGTATCCTGTCCAAACCCCGCTTTATTTTCTTCAAGCTCAGCTAAAAACTGTCATAAAAAATACTATTGTGAAAATTCACTGAACATAAGGAGAAATAGTGGTGATAATGTTGTGAAATAGTATTAAGATGACAATAAATGCTTAAATCTCTGTTTGAGCGTAATATTTTGTCTTCCTAGATTTGCACCTCTGGTAGTTTATAATAACGGTTTTAAGTCTTAAAGCTTTATCCACATAACGTTCCATTAAACATATTTTTGATCTTCGAGTAAACAGAAGAGTTATTTTTAGATTGTCTTAAACAAACAAGAATATTTATTTTAAACAATTGTTCAGAACTGACAATGAAAGTACGAAACAGACAAAACCACAGTATTTGGATTAATTTCATCACATAGCCTTATAAACACAATATTTAACTCACAAAAACTTAATATTAATAATATACGACATCTGAAAAGTGAAAATTAAGTCGATAATATTGGAAGTGGAAAAACACTTGACAAAATCGATAAAACTACACAAAATATACAAAACTTTTTAACATTTTTATAATTACGAAAAGAAAACGAAATTATTGAAAGAAAATTTTTTAAAGGTAAAACCTTAATTATAGTATTTTTTCATGTAATAAAAAGTTTTATCTTTTACACTTTACCTTTTTATATGAAATATATTTTGAATAAGTTTAGCCTTTACTAATTTTGTGGAAAATGTTTATAGAACTAATTAGCAAAAATAATGTTCAGAAAGAAAGTTTTATTTTACTGGGGAGCAGCGGAGTCTATTTTTGAGGTTCTACTTTGTTTATTTTTATTGTTTCTTCTTATCTTCTCTTTCCTCCTTTCTTACTCCTACTTTTAGCGTCGAGGATGAGATTGCTTTGTCTCTTCAGATATCCTCGGGTTGGAACCTCTTCATCCTCAGGTCCTGAATCCTCATCCTTCTTCCTCTCCTCCTCCTTAACATAATATCATTAATATCCTCTTCAGGTCCTGAATCCTCATCCTTAATCATAATATCATTAATATCCTCTTCAGGTTCTGAATCCTCATCCTTAATCATAATATCATTAATATCCTCTTCAGGTCCTGAATCCTCATCCTTAATCATAATATCATTAATATCCTCTTCAGGTCCTGAATCCTCATCCTTAATTATAATATCATTAATATCATATTCAGGTCCTGAAACCTAATCCTTAATCATAATATCATTAATATCATCTTCAGGTTCTGAATCCTTATCCTTAATCATAATATCATTAATATCCTCTTCAGGTCCTGAATCCTCATCTTTAATCATAATATTATTAATATCCTCTTCAGGGTGTGCTGACAAAAAAAAAGTTTACGTCTTCTAAACTTAGTTCATCCTCTCTTTATTTTCTATGCATTTCTTATTGAATAATGAAACATTTTTTCACGAAAAAAAATATAAACTTAATAGCAGAATTCAGTAATATTTCTTGTATTCCTTCATTTTCCCTCTTTTTATCATCTTTATGTAGATTGACAGTACATTTAGCCTCTACAGTAGAGGAGGGAAGAATTGCTTCCTGCTGGGGGGGGGGGGGGGGGGTTGGCACACACACCCCCTACAGTTTTTTGTCCTAGCACTTTCATTTTTGACACTTTCACTGTGAAATTTTGTCCCTTTTTTATGCATAGGGTATTAGGGTATAGGGCGGTATAAAATGACGACGTATATTTCATTAGGCCCCAAATTTTGCTACATGTATTGTGTAGAGAAATCTACTCGTTACACATAAAAGGGAACAATAAAGTTTTCAATTTTTAAAAATTTGTGCATTTTAAAAAATCTAAAATTTTCTTCGGATGAAATATTGAGTGGTTTGATAAGAATTCCTGTATTTGTTCTAAATGTCAATATTCTGTCCCTGCCCCTCGAAATAGATTTTGCATGCATATATCATCAAAATATAGACAAAACTTCAGATATAAACAAGCCAACCAAAAACTTAAATATTAGTTTTATTTTTCCTGGATTAGCTCCGAGAGAATTTCAAAATTGACACCAATTCTTGACGTTAAAGCTTGAATGCTAAGAGTTAAAACTTGACTTAATGGGATTGAGTCCATGTATTATTTTATATTAATGAAAATTTGAAAAAGCCCAAGTTTGATGATTATACCCAAAAAAGAGGCGTGGTTCGTGTGAAGCACCAACATGTCGAGTTTTGTTAGACTAAAACATTTATGCAAATAGTCAAATAGTTGAGAGTTGTTTATCAGTTATGAATGCATAAAATATGTTAATGGAGAAATGCTGATGGTCGATGGAATATAACCGTTCAGAAATTTATCATTTTTATTTTCACGGCTTCTGTGGAATCCCTTTCAGAATGTTTTCTAAATATGTTATTTTTCTGCATTTAGATTTCATGTCATTAAGCGTCTACAGAAATGCATTAGTATCCAGCGTAACATGACGTTCAAATTTCAGTATTAAGAATTATCCGTAAGAACCTCAATTAAAAATGGCATCCGGACAAATTCCTGAAGGAAAAATTCCGGAAAAAATTATTTCCGACGGGACCAATTTCTAAAAATTTAAAATATTATTTTAGTTTTCTGTGGTTAGGTTAAGCTTTTGATACAATTTTTACTGTCCTTTAAAAACTTTTAATTAAAAAAATGTTAACTGAACATAATTCCTAAAAAAAAAGCATATATCATATTTTTTCTATTTATATACTTGGAGATTGAGTTCTGATAAGGTTGAGTTAAGAGGAGTAAAGTTAGTTAAGGATGGTTAATTAAGTGGAGTTAGGATGGGATTATCTGGAGGATCTTATATCTAACAATCCTAACATTATTTCAACGTTAGTGTAGCTAAGCAATCTTGTACGATTAAAGTAGGGGAAATCAAGGGTAATGTTGATCCGCTCTACTGACCATCCGTCCTATTGCCCATCCGCTATATTGCCCATCCGACCTACTGCAACATCTGACCTATTCAGCAGCTTATTTTGTCATGCCTGTGCAGTAGGCAGAAATAATTAATTGTAGCTGTCGGACAGCCACTCAATTTTGTAGGTCAGATGGGCACTTTTTGTAGGTCGGATTGGCATTTTTCGTACAAAATTTACGTACGTATGTACCTACGAAAAATGCCATCTGACCTACGAAAAGTGCCCTTCCGACCTACACGAAAAATGCCCATCCGACCTACGAAAAATGCCCATTCGACCTACAAAAAGTGCTCATCCGACCTACAAAAATGCCCATCCGACCTACAAAAAGTGCCCATCCGACCTACGAAAAATGCCCATCAGACCTACTAACGTGTCAAAGCGACAGCTTAAAGTATAGGTCGGATGCACCAATATGCTGTTTTTAACGTGCCCATCCGACCTACAGTGCATCGGACCTACCACAGCTGTTAAAACCACGTGCTTGTAGGTCGGATGGGCAGTAGAGGGGATGGGCGTAGGTCCAAAAATACACCATCGAAATCAAGCCCTCTGAGAAAAGTGGGGGGGGGGCTGGATTCAGATGAGGTAAGTGTTGAGATTAAATCAAAGAATGTATATTTTAATTTTCTGGGGGGAGGGGGGAGGGTTAATAGTCTTTTTTTTTACAACATATTCTTTTTGGTACTCATTTACTAACTTACCATTGTTTATATTTTTATTTTTTAGTGTTTTACTATTTCTTAAATGAATTTGCTAAATTCTACTTATTATTAACATTATAACATCTGATGTTTTCTATATTACCTCTGTAATGTGTTAGTTAGATAATTGAACGTTAGTTTATTGAGTTAATAGTTCAATCGATATATCACTTACACCATATACACACTAAACAGACCCCATTCGTCTCCGAGCCTAACTACTACCGTAGATCAGAACAGGTTGACAAGGTTCCAAGGTGCCTTAATCTTTGTTTTTTTCATTATGCTGTTTTTTCCTGGGAAAGGGAAAGGGGGTTTTTTAAGAATTTTTTAGATATTTTCACTATCAGTTCTGCCACTTATTATGATATTCAGTGGCGTAAATAGGGGGGTTATTGGGGTTATTTACCCCCCCCCCCCCTAGAATCCTGGGGGTAACTACCCCTGAACTATTCAAGCCCTGAATAGCGAGTTGCTACTTTGTTTTTGTTTTTAAAAAAAGGTTGATTTTAAAATTGAATATCTTTTTTTGCGAGAAAATAATTTAAATGTGCAGATACTTCAGATAGTTCAGATTTTAAGTCAACATATTCTTAATGATTCTAAATTCTAATGTCATTTACAATTAGATGTTTTTTAATAAAAAAGGGTATGGGCAATGAAAAGTACATTTTTACTTCTAAATAATGTCATTTCCATATTAGATTTTTTTAAGATCTTAACATACTACATTGACGACAAGAAAATTTTAGAAATTAGAAACAACTACAATATTTTTCAAAGTTTTGCAGATTTTATGTCAACATATTCTAAGTAATTCTAAATTCTAATGTCATTACAATTAGATGTTTTTTAATAAAAAAGGGTATGGGCATGAAAAGTACATTTTTACTTCTAAATAATGTCATTTCCATATTAGATTTATTTAAGATCTTAACATACTACATTGACGACAAGAAAATTTTAGAAATAAGAAAAAAGACAATATTTTTTCAAAGTTTTGCAGAGTAGCTTTTCTAAAGATTTTAAAAAGTAACATCCTTTTCATCTTGAGTAAAACTATTATTTTTTATCTTACTTAAAATAAATTCAGCTTTTTCACAGATCTTTGTAAGGTGAAAGCCATGAAAGGTATGAAATGAAGCCTTTATTTGATGGAGTTTGTGAATGCCAGAAATGAGTGGAAAATGCAAATCAAACCCAACTAAAACCAATATTTTGATTAACATCATGCTATTTTTCTGGGGGGGGGGGTAAAAAAAATTTCGGCAAATTTCAAAACCCCCCCCCCCCCCTACAGAATCCTTATTTACGCCCCTGATGATATTGCTTTATTACTACAGTATTATAAAGCAATATCATCAGGGGCGTAAATAAGGATACAACTATTAAATTAATCCTACATGTTCACCGAGTTCACCGCAATTTGTGTGATGTGTCATATTAAAAAAAATATTTTTCATGTAAAATCATGAATTTTAATGACAGGCATTTCTTGTCAGTTTCCTGAGTACAGTGTAAATATTTGATTTATGGATAACTAATGAAAATTTAAATATGTATATGTAATTTGTAAATTAATTATTTTTGTGATTTATTATACCAGAATAGATTTCTTTTTTTATTTCATATCAGATATACTGAATATCCGGTTGGTAAGGTTAGTTTTTTATTGTTTAAGTATAACACACATTTTTCTTGCCCCCCCCCCTAAAAATGTTTAGGGAGGGGGCCAACAAATTTTTCGCGCTTCGCGCGAAATATTTCCCCTTGGCCCCCCCTAACCAAATGTCTAGTTGCGCGCCTGGTAAAAAACTTATTTCATACAAATTTCTGAAATGATTCGGTTTAACTGCATACACTACACATAAGTTGAAAAAGAGGTCTAGGGTTAAAACCTATCCCCTGGTTAAAACGTTATCATAACTGTTTCTCTAGACTAAAACTGACTATTTACCTCTACTAGTCCATCAGGTTTAAATCCTAGACCCTGAGGAGTAAACTGATTATCCTCCATCTCCGCCTTCTTCTCCCACAGTATGATCCCGACCAGTCTACCCATCAGGACCTGCACCTTCTCCTCAACCAATCCCATCTGCTCCATGCTGCTCTTGCAGGCAGGGGGGTTGGCTATTTCTCCTGAACATAAAAATTTAGTTATTTTTAATATCGAAGCATAATTTTTCATTTATCTTTCTATCTATCTAGTATCCTAGTAGGGTGGTACAGGGGTGGGAGGGGGTGCTGGGGATAATTTACTGAACTTATATAAATCTACCCAGGCAAATCTATGAGAAAATGCTTGTTAAAAAGAAAATATTTTTAGAATTGCTGTTAAAGTTACATAAAAGGCTTTAAATTGTAATAAGAAAGTAAGGCATGAAACGCCTAAAAGCCTAAGTCATTTTTATCTCAGTAATGGTACAGGGTGTCCCATAACATGGGAATTCAGTGACAAATTGGATATCATCTTTGTTATGAATTAGCATTGTAATACTTAATTTCAAAAGGCATAATATTATTATGTCTGCTAGAGTTTATTTTATGAAAAGGGTAAAAGACTGTAAATATGTGTTTATAATGTCTCTGCAAGATGAATAGTGAAGACGGACAAGTTTACTCTGTTTGTATAATGCAATTTTCTTGTTTTTACTAAGTTTAAAGTACAACCGTATGCAGTCAAAACATAAACAAACAAATTGTGATCATAGCAGACGAAACTTTTACAGATTACAAGCTTTCTCAGTAGGTATCACTAAAGAATTATTTAATAAGACGATATCGAATTCGTCACTGAATTCCCATGTTTATTGGGACACCCTGTATGCTGGATGAACGAATTTTGAATAATATTCAATCTTAAACTTGAGTGCTTAATATTTCTTCAACATTATGAAAATGTGCATAAATGTCCAAAACTTCACAAGATTCCCAATAAATCTTGATAAATTATACCAGAGAAATTATTCTATAGTAATTTTATAGTTTATTTTTTTGTGAAAATTTCCTCAAAATATTTTATTATTAAAAAGACTAAAATTTCATAATATACAAAAAAATACGATTTTCATTTTTCATGTATAAAAATATTTTTTGTTTTGGTACTGTTTTTGTGTTTCTTTGATATTTCCAATTCGGTGATTGTGATGGACCAAACCTTTGTAGAGTAAAAAAGTGGATGTTAGTTCCACATTTATTGAAAATATATTTCGGTCTGGGTTGACCCTCGTCAGTTTGAACAATATAATAACCATCAAAATCGCTAAAAAAAATATAAAAAAATGTTTGTTAAGGATCACAAGAAAATAAACAAACAAAAATATTATTCAAAAAAAAAAGTTTGATATTTCCGAAAAAAAATATTTTTAGTCTTTAGCTAACTAAAACCCTGCTTATGGTAATATTAAATGGAAACTATACTATCTCGCCAACTTAACTTAATAATTCTTTTCATTTACGTTTTGTAATCAACCGTAATCTAGAGGGCGTTGGAAAAAGTTTTATATTTTATTTTCACCCTGACCCTGCGCGTAATATCAGTTATCGAAATTAATTTGAGATTACGCAAATTGTGTTCAAAAATGTTTATTTCCTTAAACATTCTGTTCGCAGTTTTACACAAAATCTTCTAACTTCTATTGAGTTCCTTCTAAAATTTTAACCAATAGAATTGCCTCGTCCCTCACCAACATATAGTTTATTTGTGAGATTTTCCAGCCCTTTCTTGATCCCCTGAAGCAGTTTGTTCAGCAGTTGGAGTTTCTCATCAGCCACATTTTTACGAATCTAACAAATATATGTAAAGTGAGAACCAGAAAACTCTGGAACAGGAAGAGGACTTTTAGACTCAAGTTTTGACTTTAGGATATAGTCCAATAGGCATTAATTTTTGCGGATTTCACCGTTGTCCTTGAAATTAAATATAAATCCTTCAATTCAAAAGTTTATGGTATGAATGTGGCTAAATAAGTATTATTCCAATCAAAAGTTTACGCCTCTGTAAACAGTAAATATAGTGTACCTCCTGATCTTGAATATCATCTTCTAGATTCTCTAGTTTATCCCTTAGCTCTGTATTCTCCTCCTGTCCCATAAACTTAACNATCATCTTCTAGATTCTCTAGTTCATCCCTTAGCTCTGTATTCTCCTCTTGTCCCAGAAACTTAACCTAGAACATATCTTCTAGATTCTCTAGTTTATCTCTTCTGTATTCTTCTCCTGACCCATAAACTTAACCTAGAATATAACTTCTATATTCTCTAGTCTATCTCTTAGCTCTGTATTCTCCTCCTGACCCATAAACTTAACATAGAACATAACTTCTAGATTCTCTAGTTTATCTCTTACAAGTTTTTACTATTAAGATAAGTTTCTAAACATTCCAATGTGTAAAACATGTCCCCTCTTTTCTATTAATTTGTACTTCTGGCCTCTCTTATCATGGATTTTGTGGCACACTAGCCCCGAACTCGTGTATTTTGTAACCCCCCAGTTTTTATGGAATATGTACCCCATCCCAGCCATTCCCTTTCATTGACCTTCTCTGGTTTCAGATATGACATGGGGTAATTTTAATCTATCTTAAAAATATACATTAGACTCCAGCTTTCGGAATTAGAAAACCTCTAGCCTTAGCTTATTGGTCAAAATATTCCTGAGCGTTAGAATCATCAAATTTTTTCTGTCAAAATTATCTGTTTGATTTTACACCTGAGTAACTCTAAAATTTGTATCCCCCCACTGCCCCCTCTTTTCATAGTTCTTGTACTTTGTACTACTTTGGATTTTACATGCCCTCCTCTTTTCATGGAATTTGTAGTTTATTGTAGAATTTTACTGGCTTGAATCCAACAGGGACGTGGTTTGAATTTCTCTTGATTCTAACTTCAACTATATATATATATATATTTCTTATTTCCTACTAACTTTTCTCCCTCAGCTCTTTCAAACACACCAGGGTTCAGTACCAAAGATGGATGGCTAGGTAGCTAGAGAAAAACTATAATTATCAGAGAGAAAGAACACTAAACATTATATACAAGATGTCACACGAAACATGATGGTAGCAATACGAATTCAAGGTCGTCATTAAACTTAGAAATAATTTGCGGTATTTATTCGCAAATCTAAATTTAGAGTTAATAATACCAAAATATCCATAGTCTTGGCATTTCCAAAATGTGGTCTGACTCTTTTGTGCTTTCAATATTATCGGAGTTATAAAGAATTTCGTTCAGATTTCGACAATTTTGGTTTTGTTTAATAAAAGTGAAATCTGGACGAACTTTTTAGTATCTCCGGTAATATTGAAAATACAAAAAAGGCAAAAAAACGTTTTGAAAATGCCAGGACTAGGAGAATTTTGTGGTTATTGTATCAAGAATCATACATGTGAAAGAAGGGTTAACGATTGAATGTCACAAATGAATTCAAAGTTCTAACACGACCTTCAAGTCGTCTTGTTACTGTCATGTTTCGTGGGGACACCCTTTAGCTTAAATGCGTCTAAATCTGAAATTAAAAATGCATTCCAGTAAATAGACATGTATGTTTAATATAATCTTTACGGGTAGTTTTAGATACGGTACATTTAACTAAAGCAGTGCATGCATATTTAATATGATTCAATATGATATTATTAAATATTAATGATTTAATCTGCAATATTTTTCTTTCTGAACACTTACTAAATCACTATTAGATCTAATGATTTTCCTGCTTCAAAGAATTAAGTCTTTGCCACAAACTCTGATTTTCTAATCCAAAAAATTTTGCAACCCATTTGTCTTATACCTTAGATATCTCAAACTATGAATGGCCTGTTAGAACAAATAATCTAGTTTGAAGTATCAAAGGTTTACACCATCAGGTTGCAAATGTAAATAGGGATTAGATGTGTGGTACCAACTCAATTTCTATAATTTTATCAGACTAAATATTTAGACATATTTAAAACTCTTTGGTGCAAAGAATGGAGAAAAGTATGAAAGTATATTCAAATTCCATAAATTTTACATAATTTAAAAGTTTTAAATTAGTAAAATTGAAACTGCAGCAGTAAACTTGTGTGCAGTATGAAAGTTTAAATTGAAGACAGAGTTAGAGGAGATCTATTCAAGTCTATAACTATACAATATTGTCTTCAAAGGGGTACACTGAGTACATTAAGAATGTAAACTTTTTACTATACAGTGTGCAGTATACAGTGTACAACTGTTTTACACTAAAAACGACAAAAAACAAAATAACTTCAACAGATTGAAATTGTAAATAATCGAAATCTTAAATAAGCTATCGAGATAGTAAACCCAGAAGAGTAAAAAAGATTGAAACCAATGATTTAATTTCGCTTAGTGAACCTCTTGAAGAAGTGAACATTATAAAAATAATAGTAATCCTATTATTAAGGATATATTCGGCCCGAGAGAAATAAGAAAACTACAAACAAAGGTAATTCCTAACTAGGACTGCCAAACATTCGTTTAATGAACCTCAAATTTTTGAAAATTAACGGAAGATACAGTTAACCTATGACAAAAACCGTTAATCTTGATATATTAAATTAACTGCTGCTGGCTCCCCTGACGATTTCTTAACTATGAACCGTTAACGCCGTTAATATAATTGAGATCGTTAACAAATGGTAACTTTATGAAAGGACACATTAGATAACTGCAAAGTTTGTCCGTTTTGTTATTTTAATTAACCTGTTAACCTGACACCCCTGCTAGGCTTTGCACCTAACTTTGAAAACAATGTTTATTTTAAGACTAAAACATGAACGAGTTTTCATCTTCTTTAACTTATTTTGTAGAAACTTTCTACAAAATGAGAACTTTAATCCACATCTTTGAAGAACACATTTTTTCAATTTAAAAACACTGACTGTTACATTTATCTTCATAAAGTTAAATCTCTTTTTTTTCTCTGTAAATAGAAATCCCAAGAATTGAGAAGATGATTTGCTGAAAGTTATTTTTGTCCTCAAGACCACAAACATTTTATCTAGAATTTCCAATATTGTCTTGCATTGATTCTAATTTGTATTCAACACAAACCCCTCCTCCCCTCCCCCCCTCATGTTTTATTCTTTAATTTTAAATCTAGGAAATCCATGAATAAATCAAATATAATTCTGTCCCCAGATAACCAAATATAGCTTTGCTTTACAAACAGGCCAAATTGGATGAAATGAATGTGCTCGAGGGAAATAACAAGGGGGGGGGGGGGTCTCAGACTTATCTTTATCTCATCTGAGCTGAAAACTTTAGAATGGGATATCCTTACTTCCGATCGGTTAATTAATCTGGAGATTAATAACATGAGGAGAACAAGCCATATTTAATCTGAGCTGAAAACTTTAGAATGAAATATCCAGATATCCCGTCGAATAATTAATATCCGGTTTAAATATTGCTTGTTCTCCACATGAATTTAAACTCCAGATTAGTTAACCGATCGGAATTTAAGATATCCCATTCTAAAGTTTTCAGCTCTGGAGATAAAGAAAAAGAGTGGATCAAGCATTAATCCTGATATCCACCATTCAAAAGTTCCCAGCTCAGAGCTGAAAACTCTTGTATAGGATATATACCCTTAATCCCGATTGTTAAATCTCGATATCCACTGTGGAAACTTGATTTTCTGTTTTATCATATCTTTTGTATATCCTTGCTGGATTCCGACCAATGAGAGGTCGTTATCTCATTGATTATGCGCAAAACTTTTCAGCTCCTGATTGGCTGTTCGGTTTCTGTTATCGACACTCTAATTGGTTGCATTTAAGATACTTTCTTGGATATTTTATAGATTAAAATAATTTTACACAATTGTAAAGTTTTCAAATCAGACTATGATTATGAACATTTTTCTAATGCTATTATGTCATATTTATACATTTAAAAATGTAAAAATCTAAATTTCGGAAATCTTCAAAAATGTTGTTTTATATTGCCTGACTTGTGAAAAGAAAATATAAATTTTGTTTTGTTGATTCAGATTGTAGTTGTTTATCTCTATTCTCTAGACTTGATATTAAGAATATTATTATTTACCAACTCCCATTCAGCCTCCAGAGATTCTTTCACCACTCCCAAATCCCTTAAGATCAGGAAATAATTAAATTGGAGTTTATTATTGATCTGATTCTTATCTAACATGTTACAGAGATAAAATAATGTTTTAATGTTTAGATATGATGAAAATCGATCAAAAACCTAGGTGGAATACTAACCGAAAAATGTTTTAAAAAAATAAAAAATTTTGTTTAAAGTGAAAATTCTACCTAATCTCCTTTTCTGCTCTACTCTGTAAATCTTGAAGATGGTTGCCAGTTCCCTCTTGAGTTTCAAATCTTAAAAATAAATTATTTTAGTTTTTCTGTTGAAATTAAATTTTTCAACTTTAATGGGGTTAGTGTTTTAGTCGTAAAGGATATCAGCAAAACATGAATATCTCTGTCAACATACTTTATCAGAAAGGGTTCTATTTTGAATTGAACATATGCCGCTCTTTAAATGGAAGGTCTATTGAAATTACGTTAACTGTCTCTTTAATGAAAGTATTCATGAATAAAAGCCATGTATTCAAAACTAAAAGTAATTCTAAATTTTCTCTAAAATTTAGGAAAAATAAAGATAATAAAATTCAACCTTTTGACAACTTCTTGAGTGGATGATACTCCAGCGGCTCGTTTCATCTTAGTAAATGCTTCCTCGTACAATACCGCCATTTCATCAACCTTCAGAAGGAAATTATTCAGACAAAAAAAATATAGTTTCATGAGACATGAAAATATATATATGTAGATGTCACTGTGAACTATAGCCAATAGGGTAAGGTCAAAGTCACGCGTCATTACTGTTCCAACTCTGTGACCTAGTAGCTCCTCTAGTTTTGACCTATAGTAGCTCCTATAGCGTCATTACTGTTCCAACTCTGTGACCTAGTAGCTCCTCTAGTTTGATTTATTCCTTTTCAATAAAAGAGGAGTTTTGATGAAACACTTGTAGGATTTCAACCTTACGTGAATTTACTTTAGTTTGACGTGAATAAAATAAAAATGATGAATATTAGAATATTCAGTTGAAGTGTTGGAATCCATTAAACAATTAACAAGGTTCAAGTTGAAGCTCTTACATATATTTTAGTTTTAAATATACTTTTCTATATAATAAAACAAGACATTCATATAAATATGTTGCGTATAGCCGGCCAAACGGCTGGACCGATTGGGTTGACATTTTTTGTGGACACTCATGTGTGGTGTGGCTAAAAAAATCGAAATATGTTTTTTCAATTTTTTTTCCACTGACAACGCCGGGTCCTCAGCTAATAATATATATATATATCACATTATTTGAATATGAATCGGAGGTGGGGGGGGGGGGTCATGTAAATATGTTTCTTTATCACTACATTTTTTTAAATAGTTTCCACAAAGGAATTGAGTCTTTGTCACTAACTCTGATTCTGATTTTATCCTCTCCTCTACCCAATCTACTCTCTCTTTTTTACCTTTTCATCCTCCTCCTCTTTATCTTATCCTCTACCTCATCTACTCCTTCTCAACTTATCTATTCATCCTCTACTTCTTTATCTTCTTTACTTAATCTACTCCTTCTCATCTTACCTTTTCATCCTCTTCCTCTTTATCTTCTTTACTTCATCTACTCCTTCTCATCTTACCTTTTAATCCTACTCTTCTTTATCTTCTCTACTTCATCTACTCCTTCTCATCTTACCTTTTCATCTTCCTCTTCTTTATCTTCTCTACTTCATGTACTCATTCTCATCTTACCTTTTCATCCTCCTCTTCTTTATCTTCTCTACTTCATCTACTCCTTCTTCTCTTACCTTTTCATCCTCCTTTTCTTTATCTTCTCTACTTGATATACTCCTTCTCATCTTACCTTTTCATCCTCCTCGTCTTTATCTTCTCTACTTCATCTACTCCTTCTCATCTTACCTATTAATCCTCCTCTTCTTTCTCTTCTTTACTTCATCTACTCCTTCTCATCTTACCTTTTTATCCTCCTCTTCTTTATCTTCTCTACTTCATCTACTCCTTTTTCTCTTACCTTTTCATCCTCCTCTTCTTTATCTTCTCTACTTCATCTACCCCTTCTCATCTTACCTTTTCATCCTCCTCTTCTTTATCTTCTCTACTTCATATACTCCTTCTCATCTTACCTTTTCATCCTCCTCTTCTTTATCTTCTCTACTATATCTACCCCTTCTCATCTTACCTTTTCATCCTCCTCTTCTTTATCTTCTTTACTTCATCAACTCCTACTCATCTTACCTTTTCATCCTCCTCTTCATCGTCATCTTCTCCCCTTCCATCGATACTACTCTTATTAGGATCACTAGTTGCAACCTGAACATAAATAAATTAAAGTAAGATGATATGGGTGGACGTGGACCACCGCGACCCTTTATGCTCATGAAAGTTTCGACAAAAAGGTTTTTTTTAAACTGGTCCCATAATTCAAAGGATATCAGAAAAGTAATTAGAGATTAATATGTATGGGTTTCCAATCGAAATTTCGTAGCGCGGAATTCTTTAGAATTACGCAGAATTGTATGAAATTGTGCGGAATTACGCAGAATTGCGCGGAATTACAGGGCTCGCAATCGCGCGTAAGTAAAATCCACTTGCGTTGGAAGCCGTATAAATACGTTTATAAAAATATCTTAGTCCAATTTTAATTTCCAGGGATGATTTTTGTTTCACATTTTTCTAAGAGATAAGAAAATTTAAATTTTTTATCCTGCTTCAAGTTTCAAAACTTCCCAATGCATTTAAAGACAGCTAAGACAGATTTTAAATGCAAAATTAATCAGAATGAAATTGAATGAAATGAATTTTTACCGATTCTCTGCCTGTTCCTTTAGTGCTCTGCTTACTGCTGAAAATATGACGTTCCATAGTTTCAAAGTAATTCTTTCTTTCTTCAGCCAGTTTTCTAAAAATACATATTAAAGTTCAGATTAAAAAAAAGTCCATACAACGTAAATATTAGTAGCGATCGAATCAGATTTCAATTAGGATTCAGCCTCACACCCTTTTATTTTTCTCGAACACTCCCTTTAGGTGGATTTAAAAAAAAACGATTTTTCAAATTTCTCAACCTTGAATCCATCATCTTTTTCTCTCTCTCCTTCCCCTCAGAGAAAAGGAATTCTTCTTCCTTTTGCTGGTGGAAGCGCGCCAGATCTCTGGTAGCAAGCGCAGCCTAGAAATATATTTTATTAGTGCACACCAGATCTCTGGTAGCAAGCGCAGCCCAGAAATATATTTTATTAGTGCACACCAGATCTCTGGTAGCAAGAGCAGCCTAGAAATATATTTTATTAGTGCACACCAGATCTCTGGTAGCAAGCGTAGCCTAGAAATATATTTTATTAGTGCACACCAGATCTATTTCAAAAAGCTATGAAGAAGAAGAAAAACGCTTTGAATTTCTAAAGTGAAACCAAATACTTGGTGGGTCAAATCAAAGCTAAAGAAGTTACGAGGTAGCAAATTCATTCCGCATACAGGAATCATGAATCTTTGCCACAAACTCAAATTTTCTAATCCCTACATTTTTGCATAAACCTTTGATATTTTAAACTCTAATTTTTGGATCCAATATAAATCATAGTTTGAAATATCTAATTACTTCAACATTATAGGTTGCTAAGATATTGGGATTAGAAAATCAGAAATGTGTGGCAAAGACTCAATTCCTTTGACCTTCTCCTTCTGTTAAGTGGGGTTTATTATTACCCAGATATATCCATGTGAATTTTTCTTCACGTCAAACTAAAGTTAATTTCTCGTATGATTGAAATCTTATTTTTTTCAATCATAACTCATCTTGTTGAAGAACAACATTTTTATAATTTATAGCATTTAACCGAATTAATTTGCGTTTCTTAAGCAATATATGAAAACTAGAGAAGTGACGAGGTCACAAAGTCGTACTAGTAATGTAGCATAATTTATTTCTCCTTCTATCTAGTTGACAATATGTTTAGTTTCTGTAGATGTGTGAAAGTGTTTATTGTCGAGTCAACATTATATCAATATTTTGTTCCATCAATCTGTTTGTCGTTTTGGTCCCAATCCATTCTATACTGCATGCTATAGAGACAGAAACATTTTGTTATGGGATCATTCAGTTGGTGTACCGTCCAGGTTTTCAGTAATAGTACTGTACACGGCCAGATGCGCGAATACAATGAACCGGATTGGAAGATACAACCACAAAGTAAACAAAATTGTAAAATTAGAAATGCTTGATACACGTACGTAGATTAGGTACTTGATGGAAAGTATTACACAATGTTTACATGTAAAAACTATGTTAGCTAATAGATGTGTGTCTTTCTATGAGACTATTGAAGCAAGTTCTAAGCTTTGCTATAATTATTACCAAACTGTCAAATAAATTAACAGTTCTTTTTACTTATTCAGTACCATCTATAGATTTAAATCTTTAAAATTTCGTATTTTTCCGGTCTAATATAGTTATTACCAATTTTTTAAATAAATTAACAGTTCTTTTTACTTATTCAATACCATCTATAGATTTAAATCTTTAAAATTTCGTATTTTTCCGGTCTAATATAGTTATTACCAAATTTTTAAATAAATTAACATTCTTTTTACTTATTCAGTACAAACTGAACTGAAGCGTCTACCGACTGGTTGATCACTAAGATGAATCCCTACACAACGATAACACGACCATGGAACTGTGACGAGCACGCAGTATCAGCCACGAGATGATGAACACGAAGAGACGCAAACTTTGCTTTGTTTCATTATCCTGGAACATGAAGCTTCAATATTAACAAGGAACCGTCAATGTTCCTTGTTATGAAGCTAACACCAATATTTTTTTAAACCTCTGCATGTTTATCATACTCTAATGACTTCATGTTAAAGATCAACGATTGATCGGAGATACGGAAGCCCAAAGCGGTCACTGAAAACATGCATAAAATTTAATTGCCGGTTATTTCTTTTCAAACGACAGCACATATTGTGTATGTCTTGTTTTAATTTCAAATCGCGCTCTGGTATGCTATCTTATTATATAACATGTAAATTTTTTATTGGAATTGTAGTTTTGTCAATATTTAAATAGATAATGTTGTTTTTTTAAATTCATCCAATCTAACTACAAAAAAGAGAACTATATTCTCAACAGTACTATTACTCTTATCAATTCCATAGTCCAAAATACTTGAAAAAGTTTTTTTCTTCCTCTCCTAACAAACGGATTTTAATATGAATTTTGGAAAGAAAAATGTGAAATTTATCCGCAAATCAAAGAATTATCTTAACTAAAATACAAATGTATTAACACGCCATCATCGTACAACAGTTTTTGTAAAAAATAATGTAAACAATTTTGTATCTTTAAAATAATCTCGACACGGAGAAAATAAATATCTAGATCTTAAAAAAGCTTTGCATTAGATTTCTTTCTAATTTATGTAAAAATGACCTTAACACGTTCTTGGCAGAAATTTATTTTCTATTACAAATGATTGTTCTGTAAATCTTTCTGATCTTAGTAAAATGTTAGTTAAGAAACAAATGAACTGTTTCGATGTCCTGATGGACCATGCATGGAAAGTTCCGGTTTTACAAGAACTTTTAAATACAAGAATGAATAATTTATATGTTGAAGGATTCGATGATTACGTAATAACTGAAATGATAAATATGTTATGTAATGATTAATGATCAATGTCGCCTATTTGTGAATAATTTTGCACATTTTTATTTTTTATTTTGTAAAACTATATTTAAACAAATTTAAACTACACCATTTATATAGTTATTTAAATCTTTTTTTTTGTGAATAAATCTTTATAATAATATAAGGTTTAAAGGAATTGAGTTTTTGCCACAAACCCTGATTGTCCAATCCATACATCATTGAACCTCAAATGATCTAAGTTTAAAATATAAAAGGTTCTCACCATCAGGTTGCAAAGAATTAAGTTTGTGGAAAAGACTCAAATGCTTTTATAGAGTCGGCGGCACAGAATCAATTTCTTCTCTTTTTACATATATCACGACTAAACTTATTTTTTTAAACCATCTACTACATAAACTTTATCATTCATTTTTTATATTTAATCTAGATTCAGGTCATCATTCAAGTCTTATTCAATTTCCAGTAAGTACTGTTAAATCAGATATGCATGATTTATTATGGGTAGTTTGAAGCATTAAAGTTGTTTTATATAAAAGTGGTTCAACAAGAATGTTATTTATCTACATTTCAGACAAAGTTTTATTATTCTAACATATGATGTAAGGCCGGTCAGGCCTATAAATCACACAGTTTAAACAAAATCTAAATTTAAAATTCGAACACATTTCTCAGATTCTAGCAGAACATCTAACGAACTATCTATCCTTATATCTATCTGTATGTTATCTAGCTTTCTACTAACAAGAATGTTTCAATGTGTATGTCTGGAAACCAAACATATGTAATGAAATATTTTACCGTATATTCTGACATTAATTGCCCAGCCTTTACAACTTTTTTGTTTTGTAAATTGCAATAATTCTTTGGAACTTCCAGTACACAGAGTATATAACATTCCAGTACACAAAGTATACAACCTTCCAGTACACAGAGTATACAACCTTCCAGTACACAGAGTATACAACATTCCATTACACAGAGTATACAACATTCCAGTACACAGAGTATACAACCTTCCATTACACAGAGTATACAACCTTCCAGTACACAGAGTATACAACCTTCCAGTACACATAGTATACAACATTCCAGTACACTGAGTATACAACATTCCAGTACACAGAGTAAACAACCTTCCAGTACACAGAGTATACAACATTCCAGTACACAGAGTATACAACATTCCACTACACAGAGTATACAACATATTTTTATACGACTCTAGATATATATAGAGATATGGGCATCATTTTTCAGAACGAACGAACATTTTTCAGAGCAAACGAACATTTTTCAGAAAAAACGAAAATTTTTCAGAAAGAGCGAACAATTTTCAGAAAGAACGAACAATTTTCAGAAAGAACGAGATTTTTTGTGAACGGATGGTGTCTTTTTGAAAGAAAAAAGCAGCGATGGACTTGGACCGTTTTCAGAGAAATTAAAAAAACCACCGTTTCTTAAAAACGAACGATTTAAAATAGTTTGAACGATCTTGATAGTTTAAATAGATTTCTAAATCGTTCGTTCAATCAAACTATCGCTTTTTTATTGATCGAACTAGTTTTTTCCGAAAGGTTTTCAAAACAATATTTCTTTTTACTTAATGAGCGATTTTACTGAACGATCGTTCAGTGAGAAAACGAAGATAATAGATGAAAAAATTAACAATAAATTTAAGAAAAAAGAAATCAATTATTTGAACGATTGATAAAACGAATGAAATGAGCCGTTAAAGAACAACATAAGAAAGAAATGAAAAAAAGCCCGAACGCGCCCATTTATAGACTTATATATACATATACTTATAACCCCCCCTTTATATATTAACAAGCTTCGTTTTTAAATGTTGCTCTTCTAATCTCCATTTTTGTTCCGTAAAGGAACAAATTAATATTTCGAGCAATTGTCTGTTTTCATTGATTTATTTCCAAGAAAAGGAAACTAATTTGCCACAACAAATATAGGCCTAAGTTTTTCCCTCTATGTATACACTATACACCCCTGTAATGTCTGATTGAATGGTTCTCCATAAAGCTAGGTCTCGGTATCTTCTTGATCTAATTGTATTTAACGGTCTGCTGATTGGACTGATAAAGCTGATAAGCCTCCAATATGTTTTTTCTCAATTTCCTGCTTACATAGATATGTATGTAATGTATACGAAACAAAGAAATTGAGTCTTTGCAACATAATGTTGTAGACTTTAGACATTTCAAACTATGTATTCTGTAAAAACAAATAATCTAACTTTAAAATATCAAATATTTACACCATCAGGTTGCAAAGATATGAGGATTAGAAAATTTCAATTTGCTGCCAAAACTCTATTCCTTAACATAAACATGAGAATAACGACGCGGCTCGACGTCTACCGAACTCTGCATCATTATTGTGAACCTGCATAACCCAAATAGATTATCTTGTAATCAAGAAGAAATGGACCAATTATACATGACGTCACAAGGAAGACAACATTTTCTTTCATTAGTAATAACAAGGAAGACAACATTTCTTCCATTATTAATAACAAGGAAGACAACATTTTCTTCCATTAGTGATAACAAGGAAGACAACAGTTTCTTCCATTAGGAATAACAAGGAAGACAACGTTTTCTTTCATTAGTAATAACAAGGAAGACAACGTTTTCTTCCATTAGTAATAACAAGGAAGACAACATTTTCTTCCATTAGTAATAACAAGGAAGACAATATTTTCTTCCATTAATAATAACAAGACAACATTTTCTTCCATTAGTAATAACAAGGAAGACAACATTTTCTTCCATTAGTAATAACAAGGAAGACAACATTTTCTTCCATTAGTAATAACAAGGAAGACATTGGCATTCTTATCAAGCTGAGTGCTTATTAGAATTATTGTGAACCTGCATAACCCAAAAAGATTATCTTGTAATCAAGAAGAAAGGAAGACAACATTTTCTTTCATTAGTAATAACAAGAGAGACAACATTTCTTCCATTATTAATAACAAGGAAGACAACATTTTCTTCCATTAGTGATAACAAGGAAGACAACATTATCTTCCATTAGGAATAACAAGGAAGACAACATTTTCTTCCATTAGTGATAACAAGACAACATTTTCTTCCATTAGTAATAACAAGGAAGACAACATTTTCTTCCATTAGGAATAACAAGGAAGACAACATTTTCTTCCATTAGTGATAACAAGACAACATTTTCTTCCATTAGTAATAACAAGGAAGACAACATTTTTTCCATTAGTAATAACAAGGAAGACAACATTTTCTTCCATTAGTGATAACAAGACAACATTTTCTTCCATTAATTGACATGCTTTCCAAGACTAAATAAAAAAGTTTAAAAACAGAAAATAACGAACACTAAGTTGCACTTACTTCACTGTAAGATAAGCACTTTATTTTATCACATTATTAATAATTTTGTCGGTCACCAAGAACTGTTGACATTTGTGACGTAAGAATACAGCTGTACTGAGAGTGTACAAAGGAATTGAGTTTTTGCCGCAAACCCAAATTTTCTAATTGCAATATCTATGCAACCAAATGTTGTAAACCTTTGAAATTTTAAACTTAGACTATTTGATCAAGCAAAATGTATAGTTTTAAATATCAAAGGTCTACGACATCGGGTTGCAGAGATATAGGAAATAGACAATTATAGTTTGTTATAAAAACTCAGTTCCTTTTACATTTTACATAATACACAAATACACAAATTAGCCCATTGCATTTAGAATTTTTAAACCAAGCTTAGAACTGTCGGCCGTAGTTCTCATGAGTTCAACAATCTAGATTTTAGGCAACTCAGTCTAGGAATTTCTAATTAATGATCGTACATACATACAATCAAAAGAGGTAGACTCCCAAAAAGAGATTCAAAACAAAGATTTTTAAGCCTTTTTCTAAAATACTTTTTGCCGGCATATACATTTTGAATGAAAAGTAAAAAACAAACAAATCCGTAATTTTAAAGACTGTTTAATTAACGCGTATGATTTCAAATAGAAGAGACCGAATGCCCCCAACTAGGTTGGTTAGTCTGTGGTGAAATTTGCTTCCTTCCCAGCAAATAAAGGTACCGTTTATTTTGTAAGTTATTTTGTATATAGAACTTATTATCAGCTCCAGATACTATTTTTTTTATACCTAAATCATTCTAATCTGATGGTGTAAGCCTGTAATATTTCAAACTTTGGATTTTGATTTTGCATGATTTATGTTTCGCATTACATCATACCTTCATTAAAAGTTTCATTTTAGAAAGATTATGAAAACTCTTATCATAAATGATACTAAGCTTTTGATGTTTTTCAAGATTAAAGATATAGTAAAGTATGGAATTATTAAATTTTATTTTTATTTAATTATATGAAAACTCTAATTATTCTTTAGAAAACCCTGTTATTAGTCGAACCTTATTGCACCGTGCTCTTATATCAAAACTCTTTTCTAAATCTTTAAATTGTTATATTTGCTCTTTCATAAACTTAAAAAGTTTCATGTTTATCAAATATTACCGTTGTCTAATTTATCCAAAGTTTATTTTGAACGAAATAGAATAAATATTTACGTCAAAACAGAAAATGAATTTTGCCTAGAAGACATACAATTTGCAATATATTGTCTCAAGTCAAAACTGAGATGTTTGTTACCTTTTGAATTTTCTTGAGATTTTCTATTTCTTCATCTTGCTTCGTTATATTTAACTCCAGATCCTTTTTATCAAAACAGTGTCAAATATTTTTACAGTTTAATCCATGAACTTTCGTAACATCGAAAGAATTAATAAAATGTAGTTTTCTTAACCTACTGATATTGGAATGCTGGGCTAGTTTTTTTAAATGAATAATCATATGAAGCTCTTAAAAACTGTTCCTGCATATTTCATGGCTATTTATTTATTTTTACACTTACTAAGATTTGAGTATGATAGTAATATAAAAACCCATAGAAAAATTGTCAAGACGACATTTATACATTTTTTCGATTCTCCAAAGTTCTGGGTTAAACGGTATCAAATATGAACATTAAATATAAAAGTTCTGGGTTAAACGGTATCAAATATGAATATTAAATATAGTTCTGGGTTAAACGGTATCAAATATGAACATTAATGTAGCAGGAAAATGATGTTTTGATCTTTCCTGCGACTGTAAATAGCATTTTGTTTGTCATTATTTTTACCCTTCGTTCGCAATCAACCCCATTTTGCCTCCCCCCCCCCTGTTTGATGTTTAACGGGTTTTCTTGTTTATGTTTGGTTTCTATATTTAACCCAAGCCACGCGGAGAAANAAATATGAATATTAAATATATAAAGTTCTGGGTTAAACGGTATCAAATATGAACATTAAATAAATCCCCCAAAGTCAAGGGGTTTCTTTAAAAAGAAAAAATGTGTAATCTCTTTGACAGAAAATGAAATTTACTCTGTATCGGGTATTTAATCGGCCTGTTGATAACGGATCAATAATAATTACAATTTTGTCGCATTTAAAAATCTAGTTTTTTTTCCCAGTTCGGATTTGCTATAAAATTTCACAAATTGATTTTTAGAAACTCTAGTTATCAATTTTCAGATAGAAAAAGAAATATATCTTTCCGTCGTTTCCTAACCAAAGGGTCCTTTAAGAAAAATATTTTTTGTGGTACAAGATAAATAAAGTTTGACTTTAAAAGATCAAGCGAACAAAGGATAATAATTATTTATCTAATACATCTGATGAAAGAATTTCTGATCGCTCTTCAAAATTATCAAAGCTTAAACATTTATAAAAGTTTATAAAACAAAATAATGATTTAAAATCCGACTGCTGTTCAATCCTGAAGCTGATTTGTGAAGGTGAGACGTTCTCTGTTGAGCATATCCAGAATACTCATGTACTTCTTCTTGATCGTCTCCCCCTCCATCAACTTCAAGTTCGTCTTGTGGATCTCATTCTCAAGGAATCTGGAGGATAAAACAAAACTAGTTTTTTTTTAGTGAAAACTATATTTCGTAGACTCCCCTCCCCCCCTCCGATCGTAACTTTTAAACTCTAGAATAAGATTACTGACATAAATTAAAGCATCAATGTAATAATTTAATAAACATGCAGATTTTATATCAGACGTTAATATTGTGAAATCCGAATTTGGATTTGTGAACAATAAGCATTAATAATGCAGCGTGGCCATTGAAATTGTGAAATTGGAAGACAAGTGTTAGACTCAATTAACGAGTAAATAGTCCCATGAATTGATCAATGAACATGAAACTACAGCAATTGTGTAATTTTAACTGAGATTGAGGCTTAAAGGGCACCGTTGTGTACTGGACTGCACAATATAAATTAAAAGTCACATTATTGGCTTACATTTGATACTTGTGAATAAAGAAATATTGGGGGGAAACCAGAAAACTATGGAATGAAAGATATACAAGAATATTCCATTTATTAAGGTGATTTACATTTTATCAACGTAAAATACGCCATATAAGATTAATAAACTGTCGTCTTCCTGTTCCACGTTTACCTGCGCTTAGTCGCAAATTACGATTTTAGCTATTTTTTCCGATAAAAGTAGACTCACACAATTTAGAACATTCCTGTGGTTCTCCTGACATCCCCAATCAAAATTTGAGGCAAATCGATCAACGGATTCATGAGTTATTATGAGAGATCCAAACAAACAAACAGAGATTACAACTTTATGTATATATATATATATATATATTAATTAAATAATACCTGAGTCTTTGTCCCTCTTCGCTCTCCTCTAATATTTCCTCCACTCTTTCCTCTTCAGCAGTTTTACGAACAACCTAATTTTATATTTTTTTTATTTTAAATTTTTAAATTTTCGATTTTTTAATTTTAAATTTTTAAATTTTAAATTTTAAATTTTAAATTTTAAATTTTTAATTTTTATTTTTTTTCCTTCTCATTTTTGATTTAGTAACCTTTTCATAGTCCACCATCAGCTGCTGAATTTTCCCGGATTTTTTGGCAGACTCGTATCTGAAAATAATTAATTTGACTAAATTCTCATATAAGCTCATATATTTCAACCAATGAGCCAAGTCTGATAATAATGATATAAACTATATAAATTCTGAAGTGTTTCGTGAAAGAGTTGTTCATATACAGGGTTACCCACAAAGGATGAGACTTCAGAGACGACTGTACGAAATTTATGCTGTCTTTATCCATGTATCCATGATTCTCGGCAACTGTAAACTTGTTTCTTCCTTTGCTAAATCAAAAAATTATTCATTAAACGACTTTATATTCAATGCAGAAGACTTCATCCAACCGAGAGATTTATGTCGTCTTTACAGTCTCATATCCGTTGTGGGCAACCCTGTAAATAACCCTTCAAAAATTAAATTTAAGGTCGTTTTTCTTGTGTTGCCCTCTTGTAAGGAATTAAATCAAGATTAGAGCTTGTTTTGAATAAATCGGAACTTAAAATAAATATTCCGTTTTTGAACTTTCTATTAGTTTACCTCAGTTTGTTGAGCATCTTTTTAAAATCTGCAACCTTTCCAAATTATCTTTTCCACAAAACTTTCTTTTCTAAACCTTTTAAAAGTTTTCCTGGAACAGATTTCCATCAAAATCCTATTTTTACTGAAAAAGATGAATTCCTTGAAGTCTAAAGTCTGTAAAGCAGTCTCAAGCGGCATTTTACTGAGTAGTCTTGTATCAAGGTTTGGACTATCCTAAAAATACAAAATAATACAATTTTTTGACGAAACACATTTTTTTATTTTTTTTTCATACTCACCCAGTTTTCCACAGAAAGAAATTGAATTTTTGTCACAAACTCATATTTTCGTATCTCTATATCTTTGCAATCTGATGGTGTAAACCCTTAATATTACAAACTATTTTATTCAGTTTGAAATATCAAAGATCTATACAACATCGGGTTGCAAAGATATAGAGATTAGAAAATCAGCGTTTATGGCAAAAACTCATTTTCTTTGTAAGATCTTAAATGTATTTTATCTTGTATCAATTAAAAAAAACGAGAATAAGAAGTTGGTCAAATAAAAGATGAAGGAACTGAATACTAGCCCCTAAGTCTAATATATTTGCAACCTGATGTAGGAAAATTTCAATGATTTAAACTATAAATTCTACGAGATAGATCAAGTGGTGCGAGTTTTAAATATCAAAATTTACCGCCATCAGGTTGCAAAGATGGATTAAACATAAGATCTTAAGTATGCTGTAGAAAGAGGGGGGGGGGGGTACAGACGAAACGAATAATGTCTAAAGAGAAAAAAGATTAAACTAGAGGGTGTCCCATTAAAAATGGCAGTGGAATCTTAGTCTTAAATCTTTGATAGCTTTCTAATTAGTCATATAAGCTCTCTATAATAGGTCTGTATTAATGTCTCCTTTAAAGATTTTAATTCGTGTCATAGCGTCGTTATGTTAAAAACTTCCTTATATAGCTTACAACGATCAAAGGCGACCTTTTAGTCATCTCTCAATTGTCATGTTACGTGGGATAAGGCTGAGAAAACATATATATTTGAGAAGGGGGGGAGGAGGATGATAGACCCCACACTTTGAGGTATCTTGGAGGGGGCATCAATATTGAGTTTTCGCCATAAACCTTATATTTTAGTCAAATATGGCTCGGTCGCTTCGGCAATTTTTTCCAAAGAAGAATCTTAGTCGTTGTAATGTTATGCTGAACCTTAAAATCAGACGGAAAACTTGTCATTTCCGTGGAAACCCTTAAAATGGGTAAGAGACAATACAAATACTTGGGCTCCCTTACGATCCCCCGAAATCTTTTATAAATCACCACAGTTTCAGTAGAAGTAAATATTTCCATTTACTGATAGCGCCGATTGAAGGGCTCTAATTGGATAATGAGATAGATAGAAAGATAGATGTTACCGCCATACCATTTCTAATGGATGACTGAACCCTGATTGGGTCAGGCGCTAATGGACTCGGCATACAGGAGAGGAATGGTTGTTAAAATCTGTGTATATATCTAGACTAGATTATCCTGAATCCGTTGTAACTTCTTTAAAAAGGCTATAAAATATATGATTTCTAAACATAATCCACTGTGCCTCGCCCCTTCTGTAACTTTAAATTATATCAGTCATGCCCCTCATGACCCCTTTTCAACCTTGTAGGTTGATATTCTACACATTATTCTAGGTTTTACCCTCCTTGACTCTTGAGTCTGGCTGGCTGAGATCTGATCTAATCAATCTGGTTCTCATGTTCCTCCCACCCCTTTTCTTCCCATTTCCCTCCCTCCCTCCTCCCCTCCCCCCTCCCCTCCCAATCCTTCCCCTTCATGATGGACACAGGTCAATAATTAGTCAAACAATCTTTCATTCAAACCCTTGTCTAAACCTTTACCAAACCTTTATCCAGCCTTCATCAAACCTTTATCAAACCTTTATTACACCTTCATCATCTTCATCAAACCTTCACCAAATCTGTATCCAGCCTTCATCAACCCTTCATCAAACCTTCATCAAACCTTTATTACACCTTCATCAAACTCCACAAAACTTATAAAACCTAACGAGGACAAATCTTCATCAAATCTTGAAATAAAACTGAATTAACAAATTTAATCTTTATATTTTGACGTAAATATTTTAACCCTTCTTCCGACAAAAAGAGTTAATCGTTCTCCTGAATTTAACCTAAATATTCAAGAGTGTGTAACCTGTGCACTTTTCATGACAGTTTCACTACTTTTCCCAGATCTATTCACTTCAGACTTCATTCTCTTCACATCTTCAGTTAATTGCCTGTAAAAGGGTAAATATGAGAACAGAGTTGAAAACTTTAGAATAGTGGATATCAGGATTATTGCTTTATCCACTCTTTTTCTTAATCTCCAGATTAAATATAGCTTGTTTTCCTCATGAATTTAATCTCCAGAAAAGTCAACAGATCGGATTCGGAATTAAGGATATCACATTCTAAAGTTTTCAGCTCTGAGCTCTGGCCACTGCATACTCAAATGTTTAACTCTCTGTTGAAGAGAATGAAATCCCCGGAAGAGGAATATAAAATCCCCGAAAGAGGAATATAAAATCCGCAAATCAGTTGTGTCGGATTCCCGAAGACCTACTCATCTTCCTCTCTTTTTATATCCTCGTTATTCATTATGTTTCTATATCTAGAAGAAAATATGCACTTATAAAGCTCCAATCTCAGCCTGATGTACAAATTAGACTATAATTAACAATTTAATCTAACATCATTCATAGTTTGAAATATCAAAGGTATAAGACATAGAATGCAAAGATATAGAAATATAAAAATATAAAAATATAAAAATATGAAAAAAAAGTTTTTGACAAGAACTCAGTATCTTTAAATAAATTAATGTTAAAAGATATTTTTTTATTTTGTAAAATGGTATCAAATGTTAATTAAGATAGACAAACCATTTTTTATTTCACAATTGTTAAAACTTCATTTTCTTTCTTAATTGTTTTTTTTCTACTGTTAATTATTTACTTATTTAAGTTATTTATATCTTTAACTATTTATTCATTTATGGATTAAAATATTTATCCACTTATTTATTTTTCTACCTTACTATACTTATCTACTTATTTATTTATATAATTTTCTATTTACTAATTTTTCTTTTTTTCATTTATTTATCTATTTATTCATTCGTTTATCTTTGGGTTATTTAAATTATTTAATTAATTAACTTATTTATTTTACCTGACTTTCTCTCTATTTTCTTCTTTCTCTCGTTCACAATCTTCAAATATTGCTTTCCTCTCCCCCTCCACCAGCTGTATCTTCTTCTTCATCTCCCCCATCTAGTGTTGTTAATCATTTTCTAATTCTTTAAAATAAAACTACCAAGATTTAAAAATTTTATTTTGTTTAAGTTTGTTTTTAGTCTAAAAAAAGAAAAAAACGACCCAAAAAGAACCGTTAAAACATGTTTGTTTTTAGTGTAAATATTTACAATAAATAATCTAAAAACAATTTCTCTTCTTGTATACTACTAGCGCGCTTGGGAACCCGGCACTGCCCAGGTTACTCATATAGTTACTCCCGCAGTTTACCCGCACATGGACGATTTTGACAGGAAACTAAATTTTCTCTATAAAAGTCGACCAACTCAACTTAGAACCTTAAAATCAAGCTAGGAACATTCCCGTGTCTCTCTCGTGTTCTCCAATCAAAATTGGAGGCATATCGGTCAGAGGGCAACTTAGTTATGATCGGACAACAAGCAAGACAAACAGTGATTACAACTTTATATAAATTAGATCGTCAATCCGTCGAAATTACGATTTTCGGGATTAATCAGAAAATTTAAGAAGAATGAATTGTTTTAAAAAATTGAATAAGGCTACTATAAGAATTTTCTTGTGGAAAATGCGAGGTTTTTCGAGTAAAATGGGTTTATTTTGACGTTAATACTTGGAGATAATCTAATATGACATGGGAGTGGGACGCTCTGTAGTTGCTATAAATTTAACCATGCATACAGAAAATAAATGCAAAACACTTTTTTGTGCAATAAATTTGATGTGTTGGTTTACTTTAAGGGACTAAACGTAATATCTTGTAACCCCCATTTATAAAGTGGTTTGTCCGATGCACATCAGATCAGAACCCTTGGAATTTTTGTCTGATAAAGAAGATATCCTTATTCTTCTTACAGAAAATAAAATGCCGAGAAGACGAAGGATGTGTTGTAAATAAGGAACTCTGTAAATATCTATATCCAAACTGTTAAGATTGATAAAATCTACATTATTTCGCCATTGAACCTACATTAAAAGTTTTTGTATCTGTTTTAAAAAATTGCATAGTTTTTCAAATCATAAAATCTATATTTGTACCTGTTTAAAAATGACCCCTCTAGCTCCCCCTACTTCTCCCCCGCCTGCTCCTAGGCCTTCCATTTTTTATCTTGAAAACTTTTTAAAAATATTTAAAAATTTTAAAGAAAAATAAAAAAAATCTTTATACTTGGACAGATGTTTAACAAATATTTTGGTGACTTTGTTGGAGGTGCGATTGAGTAAACATTTTTTTCGCACATTTTTGCAATATCAATCTGCAGGTTTCATTCGCAATTTGAATGTCAGTTTTGATACAGTTTTCTTTTATATTTGAACTTATAGGTCAGTCATTCGAAATATGTGGGTAAATATTTAGGTACATTTTTTAATTTCACTTTTCTTTTAGGGAGTGACCGGCAATATATGGTGGTTATACTGAGATGGCAGTATTGTGGACAAATTTTTTAGAATTCATTTAAGACATATAAAACTATTCTACGACGTATATTTACTGAGTTGGAGAATCTGTTTTTTTAATTAATTTGATTAAATAATGACGATAAAACATGTAAAAATAATTCTACAGTAAACTAATTAGTTGTTTAAGAACAGGTTGAGAAAATAAAAATTAACTCTTACCATCGAAAATAAGTAATCTTATTCAATTATAAGTTTCTGAAATCTCTCAGTATTCACAAAGGTTTTCTGGAATTTTTATTGAAAAGACGACATTTGAAGAATTTGTAGAAATCTGCGAACAAATTCATAGAAAATTATAAATTCAATATAATGATGAAGACGCAATACTTGATTTTAACATTGGTTTATTAATAAATTTCTTTTGTGAAATATGTTCTTTAACATCTAAATAGTTTACAATGGAATTGTTACTTTATTTTTAATTTGTTCGTTATTTATTCTTTAAAAAACGATTCTCAAAACGTACTCACGCAAAATGAAGATTTTGAACGTCGACTTTGTGCTCAAACTCAGTAATTATAGATCTTTAACACTATGTTATATGTCTCAAAAGAATCCTAAATAATTTCTCTACAATACTGCAATCTCAGTCACCATACATTGCCGGTCACTCCCTTTAAGGACTAGAGGGGTGGGGGGAAATATATTATATTATTTTATATTATATTATTATATAACTGGAGGGGGGATATATAACAGGAGGGGGGCGGGGGGATATATACCCCTGAATCTAAATCTGTATCAAACAAACTTGGTGAATGTTTTCTAAAACACTCTTGCTGTTTATAAAAACTCTTGGTTTCCTCCCACAGAATATTCAGATTAGACAGAAGAAACTATTCTTGTTTTAAAGGAACTGTAAGTGCAATTTTAAGTGACCCTTCATGCAAAGATGAAAATGCCTGATTCACAACGGTACCCTTAAAAGCTTTGTCTGAACAAGTATGAATTAGATATGAATTTGTATAAATTTTAAAACCGATTATTTTATATTGGGTTTTCTCGACAAAAAAGACTTGTGCATTTCTACTACAGGAAAACATACAGAAATTATCAAAATTAAACACTTTAAAATCCAAAATAACGATAGCATCTTCCTCAATTTTGATCAGTTAAGGTTCTAAGGGTATCGTTGTGAGTCAGGAATTGTCGTATTTCTTGTGAAAGTTACCTTAGAATTACATGTACAGTCCCTTTAAGTCAATACCTTTAGCTCCATCCATTCCCCAGGGAATACCACAAATGTTCTGATTCTGAATTAGGGATATTGAGATCAATGCTTGATCTCCTATTTTTTTAAATCTCAAGATTTATTTAATCTTTAGTTTGTATCCCAGAAAATTGTATATTATGTTCAACCGAAAGACTGGAGTATATAGAATCCTGAAAAGCCCATCAGAAGCCGTACATTTAAAATTTCTCTATTTAATAAGAGAATTCTCATAGGTCGGAATCTGGTAGGGATATCCAAAGAGAGAGAAAAAGATCGGTTTAAGCAGGAAATAAAAATTTCCTGACCTAAAACCACTCTTGTCCTATCCAATTAATCTGTGTTTTATTCCTTCTAAGTTTTCACACATATATTACTTTTGGCAGCTCAATCTAAACTTTTATGTTCTTATTTTTGTTCCGAACCATCTCCTAGAGCTGATACATAGATAGAACCCTTCTCCTAACCTTTCATGAGAAATCATAAAAGACTAAATGGAAAACCACTTTTAAACACAGAAATAGCTTTAATGTTTATTTTTTTCTTAAAAATCAAGTTTTGAGGTGATATTTTCAAAATTAAAAATGTATGGCAAAAACCACCTCCCTCCCCCCAGATTTTTAGGGTTATTCCACAACTTGCAGAAGTAATCAGCTTTCTTTTTATAAACAACTAGCTTGGAATCAAGCTTTGCCTTGAAACAAATTCTTTGATAAGAGTAAATCTATTTAACTAAGAGCTTTAAAACCAAGCTAAGAACATTTCCGTGGTTATTTAGAGTTCCCCAATCAAAATTTGAGGCAGGGGTTCCTGAGTTATGATCGGACAAATAATAAACAAACAGAGATTACTACTTTTTATATAAATATATATATATATATATAGATTCCCATGTCTAATACCCTAGGTGGCAGGTCTCTGAACTTATGAATTCGTCTATTTTATCAATTTTAACTAAAATAGTTCACGTCAAAAGTAAATTATGCACAGTAGATTAAAATCTTAAAGTTTTTTAAATTAAAACTCCTCGAGTTATTGATGCGAAAAAAAAATAATTTGTTTTTCTGTAATATGTAATCAAATGAATTTTCTTGTGCGTAAAATCAAAATTATATGAGCTACAAGGTCACAAAGTTGAACTAGTAATCTCGCTTATATTTGACCTTCTCCTCCCGTTCAGTTGGTGCATAATTCTTATGGAACCGCTGAAACTGGAGAGTTCCAATTTTCACTCCTGTAAATATATTATCTATGTTTAACTCTCCATTCCTTCTTCTTAGTCCATTGTTTGCTCCTGTACACTTTACAGTGCACACCTAATGCATCTCTAGAGACCCTAAGAATAATGAAGAAAGTAAGAAGGTGGGGGGGGGGGGGATGGGGAATTTCTCCCTTATACCATCCTCGCTGGGACTCAGCTCCACAATTTGAAATTAACTTGGGAGTATTTTAAAAGTTTGAAAATTGCGCCATAAATCTCCAACTAAACTAGATAAGAATTAAGTCAAGCAAGTATAACGGCTTCTGGCGAATAACAGCTTCCTCATGGGAGGTTTTAGAAGGGGGGGGGGGGGATTAATAGGAAATAGTGAGGAAAGATTGAGTATCAGGGTAAGGAAGAGAATAGGATTGATATCATGGTAAGGAATAGGATGGATATCATTGTAAGAAAAAGAATAGGATGGATATCATGGTAAGGAAGAGAATAGGATGGATATCATGGTAAGGAATAGGATGGATATCATGGTAAGGAAAAGAATAGGATGGATATCGTGGTAAGGAAGAGAATAGGATGGATATCATGGAAAGGAAGAGAATAGAATGAATATCAGGATAAGGAAGAGATATGATGGATATAATTGTAAGGAAGAGAATAGGATGGATACCATGGTAAGGAAAAGAAAAGAATGGATATCATGGTAAGGAAGAGATTGGATGGATACCATGGTAAGGAAAAGAATAGAATGGATATCATGGTAATGAAGAGACTTGGATTGAAATGGTAAGGAAAAGAATAGGATGGATATCATGGTAAGGAAGAGAATAGGATTGAAATGGTAAGGAAAATAATAAGATGGATATTATTAAAGAAGAGAATAGTATGGATATCAGGAAAGGAAGAGATTGGATGGATATCAGGGTAAGAATCAGGAAGGAATGGATGTCACGGTTAGAAAGAGTGAAGGAAAATGAAAAATTGATAAGATATTCTAAAAAATTATGTAACTTTTAATTGAATGAATTATTTCATGATCAAGGGCTACAATAATTTACGTAACTGGGAGAAGTTAAAACAACTTATTTGGCAG